TCTACAACAAAGGAGGAAAGAATATACAATAAAGACAAGACAGTCTTTTCAATAAATGCTGTTGATAAAACTCAATAGCTACGTGTAAAAGAATGAAACTGGGCTGCTTCCTTACACCATACACAAAAATTAACTAAAATGGATTAAATTCCCTAAATGTAAGACCTGAAACCATAAAACTCCTAGAAGACAGCATAGGCAGTAATTTTTTTGACATTGTCCTCAGCAAGGTATTTATGGCTATGTCTCCTCAGGCAAGGGAAAACAAAAGCAAAAATAAATATTGGGCCTACTGGTATACCAAAATGAAAAGCTTTTGCACAGTGAAGGAAACTATCAACAAAACAAAAAGGCAATCTAGTGAACAAAAAGATGTTTGCATGCAATACAAGGTTAATATCCAATCTGGTAAGAAGTTAATATACAATATATAAAGATCTTATGCAACTCAATACCAAAAAAAACTACAAAAAACAACCAACCTGATTAACACATGGGCAGAGAACCTGAACAGACATTCTCCCAAAGCAGACATACAGATGGCCAAAAGATAAATAAAAAGGTGCCCAACATCTCTCATCACTGGGGAAATGCAAATCAAAACCACAATGAGTGAACACTTAGCACCAGTCAGAAAGGTTAGTATCAAAAAGGCAATTAACAAGCGTTGGCAAGGATGTAACCATTGTGTTCTGCTGGAAGGAATATAAAATGGTGCAGACCATTTGTCACTGTGGACAACAGTATACAGGTTCCCTGAAAACTTAAAAATAAAAAACAGAAATGCTGTAAGATCCAGTAATTCCACTACCCAAAGAAAACGAAAACACCAGTTTGAAAATATATATGCACCCCTACGTTTACCGTAGCATTATTTACAACAGGCAAAATATGGAAGCAACCTAAGTGTCCATCCGTAAATGAATGGATAAAGAACACACACACACACAACCAGAATATTACTTAGCCATAAAAAAGAATGAGATCTTTCCATTTGCAACAACATAAATGGACTTAGAGGAATTATGCTAAGTGAAATAAGTCAAAGACAAATGCCATATGATTTCACTTATATATGGAATCTAAAAAACACACAAATGAACAAAGACTCTTAAGTACAAAAAACAAACTGGTGGTTGCCAGAAGGGAGTGAGTGGGGTGATGGGTGAAGTAAAGGGGATTAAGGAGATAAAAACCTCCAGTTATAAAATAAACCAGAGATGAAAAGAACATAAGGAAACAGTCAATAATATTGGAATAACATCATATGATGATAGGTGATGACTACACTTATGATAAGCAAGGAGTAATATACAGAACTGTTGAATCAGTATGTGGTACACCTGAAACCAGCGTAACACTGTACGTTAATATTTATTTCAATTAGACAAAGGAAAAGCCGTGATCCACCAGAAAAACATTTTAATTTTTTTTTCAACATTTATTTTTGAGGGACAGAGAAAGAGAGACAGAGAGAGAGAGACAGAGTGTGAGCAGGGGAGGGGCAGAGAGAAAGGGAGACACAGAATCCAAAGCAGGCTCCAGGCTCCCATCTGTTAGCACAGAGCCCAATGTGGGGCTCAAACCCACGAACAGTAATATCATGACCTGAGCCGAAGTTGGATGCTTAACCGACTAAGCCACCCAGGTGCCCTAGGAAACACATTTTAGATTTGAAGACACAAACAGGTTTAAAGTAAAAGGATGAAACTTTCTATAGTCAAACAGAACTCTTCATTTCCCCCCTCTTCACAATCCTCATTTCAGTACAAGGAACAATTATCCATCCAATTGTGAAGTGAAAATGTTAGATATGATCCTTGATTCCTCCACAATTCAATCCTTTTATCTACTCCCTCAGCAAATTTTGTGGTTCAGTTTTCTAATTAGCTTGTCAACTGCTACCACGTGAGGGGAAGCCACCGTTCTCATGTGCCTAGCCTACCTCGGCAGCCTCATAACTGAACCCTCTACTTTTTTGTCCCACATGGTCCATTCTCCATAAGGCAATCCTGGGTGTTATTAAAAAAATATATGAAATACTGTTTCTCTCTGGCTTAAAAACCTCCAACACCCTCTGAGTTTCTCACAGCATTTAGAATCAAATTTAATTTCCCTTCTTTTTTCTTCAAGGGCCTATCTCTCATATCTGCTGTTTCTCAGGAACAATACTGGACCTCGTGGGACACACAGGAAAGATTGTCAAAGTGTTAAGAAAAAACAATTTAGAATTTAGAATTTGATTCATCAATATTAATATTCTAGAATGAGTGCAAAAGATGTATTTTCCAACATATAAGGCCTCAGAAAGTTCATCACCCAAAGCGTATTTCTAAAACACCCACAGAAAATATCCAGCAAGAAAAAAAAACAACAAAAAAACCACCTCCTAAGAGGCAGAAGGATGATATAAGAAGTACTAAGATCGAAAAAGCCGGGGCACCTGGGTGGCGCAGTCGGTTAAGTGTCCGACTTCAGCCAGGTCACGATCTCCCGGTCCGTGAGTTCGAGCCCCGCGTCGGGCTCTGGGCTGATGGCTCAGACCCTGGAGCCTGCTTCCGATTCTGTGTCTCCCTCTCTCTCTGCCCCTCCCCCGTTCATGCTCTGTCTCTCTCTGTCCCAAAAATAAATAAACGTTGAAAAAAAAAAAAAAAATTAAAAAAAAAAAAAGATCGAAAAAGCCAATAAAACATTGTTAAGTCTAAATAACCACAGATGGTAAAAAATAACATTTTAAATAACTGACAAGTAAAATTTCTGAGTACAGACATGGAGCGGAGGAAGAGAAAGTATCTTAATTAAATGGAAGAATACAAATGCTGATAACTATGAAAAACATGTTATTTAAACTTTAAGAGTAATCAGTAGAATAGGATTAGAATATATAATTTTAGGGGGAAAATGGCGTAAGAAAACCTTTATCAACAGCAACAGAAAGTAGGAAGGGAAGCAGGAGAAATCAAACAAAAAGTATAGTAAGTAGAAAACAACAGTAAATGGAACTGGTTCAACTCCCTTACTGTATGAAAAAGTGTCAACACACGAAATTAACAAAAACTACAAAACAAAACCCAGTATATACTACTCATACCAGATCAAATAAATCAAAACATGATGCAGAAGTAACAAAACACCATAGTTTTAAAATCTAGGAAGCAAAAACTAATATAATTTTGAGGCAAAATAGACATATCTACACTCACAGAAAGTATTTCACTTTAAAAATGGATAAATCAGGTAGGTAAGAAAGTATGTAGAACATCTGCATAATATAAGCATGGTAAACCTGTTCTAACACATATGTAAGTATATTCATACATACATACAAATATATATACACACACACATATAAAACTCCACACCTAAAGACTGAATACACATTCTTTTTGAATATATATAAAGAACATGTATAAAACCAAATATAAAAGTCCAAAAAGATCTCAAAATATCTATAATAAAGTCGACATTTATTAACCATCAAGGAACAGAATTAGAACTCTACATTAAGGTTTTGAAATTACATATTCATAGACATTAAAACAGTATGAACTCCTATATAATCTTAAATGAATAAAAATATTAAACTGAAAATATAAAATCTTAAAGGGAAAAAAAAGAAATGCACTTATCAACACATAGGAGATACAACCAAGTGATAACGAGAAAAGTATTTATACCCTAAAATGTTATTTATTAAAAGTTAAAAATGAAATAACTTATAAAAATGACAAGCCCTAACAAATACATTAGGGAAAAAAAAGACAATATTGGTTCAAGGAGCATTAAACTATTTAAGAAGTCAGCATAACACTGAAAAACCAGTTAAGGATGAAACAAAAGAAAATTTTAGGCCAATCTCACATGGTGCGAAAAATCCTAAATACAAGATTTTCTAGTTGAATCCAGCAATATATTAAAATACCAAGTAAGATGTGTGACAGAAACATAAGGATGGTTTAATTACACAACTTATCAACCTGTATTCCTGTTCAGGGTTTTAAAGATGAAATCTTTATGCCTTTTCCCTTCTAAACTCTAAAAAAAGGGTTCACTCCCACAAGGATAGAGGGAACAAGGGAGGAGACACCAGCAATTGGGAGATTTCAATAACATTCATAAAAGGAGAGACAGCACAGGGACAACTAATTTAGCAGCCTAGTTAGTCTAAGAGCTACAGGGTAAAAGGCATGAAAGGACATGGAAAAGACTCTTCCAAAACAAAAACCAAAATACAAATCCCAGAGACTCTCAACAACTAGGAGATGGCAAGTACAAAAGGACTGCCCTGCCCTACCTCCTGCACCCCATCCGTACAGACAACCTGAGCACCTGACACGGACAGCCTAGCTTCTGCCATGGAAATGTGAGGTTTATTCTCTGAAGAAATTAGAGAGGTGCCTGCCTGGGCTTTGAAGATGAAGGCACAGAAAAAAGGGTGAGGCTGAAAACTGGAAGATTAACATAATGCTTCAACTGCCAGGAATGCTTCAGGTTATACACCTTTCCCTAAGAGAGGTAATTCAAATTTTAGTTTCTGAATGGTTCTAAAGAACAAAACCCCACATATAGCTGGGGATGTCTTAGCTAAAAAGCCCGTCTTCTTGCATAGTCATCCTAAAATAATTTTGCCATCAAGCCCCACACCTGTGCACAAAGAATCTGCATTAGCTTTGTAATGTCCTATCTTAACATAAACAGAATCTCTTAAAATTTAATTTCTGCTACTGAGATAACTAAATCCAATTTTACCATTAAAAAACTATAGCCACCCAGTTACAAAGATCATAATGCTTATTGATAAGTAGTTTTGAGAATTTTTCCTAATTACCCTCTGTGCAACTTCTCTACTTCCAGATCTTAATATCCCTCACAGATTAAGAGGCAGAGAATGAAGAAAACTTTAAACAACTCCCGAACAAAAAGTCGTCCCATAATCCAGACCCGAACACAAAAAAGTTAGGGTAAATTAGCATCATAAAAATGTCAATACAAAATCTTACCTGTTTATCTTTCCTTTCTATAATATCTTGCTTTTGTTTGCATTTTTGAGATGTCTCTTTAATATCTGTTGCCTGTAAGATTGAACCAGAAGGAGGGGAATTTAGTTAAAATCTCAAGCAAGCAAATTATGTGGCCCCAGCCATCAAAATGTTAAATTAACCCACCACGCTTTTTCATGATTTCTTTCAAACCAAATTCATAATCATCACCAAAAATACTAAGTTACCTGCAAATCTATAAAAGGTTATTCCTATTGATATTAACAACAGCTGTAGCAATATGCATACATATGTTTTCTTTATTTCTTCACATTTATTATCTCATGTTATTTCATCTGATCCTAAAAATAATCCTATTAGGATAGCAGGAACCCATAGTTTAAACCATTCTTAACATCTGATTCCAAAATCTCCCTAAAGTTAACAGCCATGACCATAAAAATTTTTAATTTAGGTTTAAAATGTTTAGTTTATTTGTTTTGAGAGAGAGAGAGAGAGAGAGCGCGCGAAAGAGAGAGAATGCGTGTGTGTGCGTGGGAGGGGCAGAAAGAAAGGAAGAGAGAATCCCAAGCAGGTTCTCCACCGGCTTAGAAACCCCAAGATCATGACCTCAGGCAAACCAAGAGTCAGTTGCTTAACCAACTGAGCCACTCAAGCACCCCTTAGGTTTAAATGTTTTAAATACATTTTTTAAAAAATAGTATATTCCATATGCCACAGAATATGGCATAGAATACATAGAATACTATGTATTCTAAGACACACAAGGTTTTCTACAATGCACTCACAAAAGGAGTTCAATGTTTCTAGGAACACTACTCTGAATCCTCTTATAATTAAAACAATCACATTTCAGTTTTCCCTTTTGTATCTTGGAATTTCTATAAAGTAGCAACTGTCCAAATGTGACGATTAGACCTTAAGAACCCCGTGGTGGCCGAATTCAGTCAGAGAATGTAAACGATGAAAGCTACAAGTCCATCTACAAAATACCTTAAAAGATGGCAAAAGAGCTCTTGTATTTGCTAAAATAAAACACAGAAAATTCAAAAATGAGCCAGAGAAGTACCTTCTCTTTGATTCGAGCCTCCAAACTCTGACGCTGCCTCTCAATTTCTTCAATTCGACGTGTCATAGGGATCTGCCCTTCTTTAAGTTTTCTGACCTCTTCCTTCACTCGGTCTCGAGCTAGCTTTACTTCTTCATACTCCTGACGGACATTTTCATATTCCTTGCAATTAATTCAAAAAACAGAAGTTAATGCACTACTAGCTTAAGCTAAGTCATATACGAAAATCAAGGTGCAGGAAAAACCAAATCTATGAAAAAACCCTTTTGATATCCTTTCGGCAGGTCCACGAGTCTAAAGTTTGCCATAAAAAACAACGTCAGATATAGTGAATTCCAACAATGACGTATAAAGAAGCTTGACACTCTCTTAGTACTTGTCTCTATTACGAGGTCAGACTCCGACTTCCATCCCTCCCGGGTTCTGAAACTTACACACTAATTGCTACTAAAATAAGGGTTTCCTCTAGTCTCTCAATAGAGGAAGGATATCAGAACTTACAAATAAACACAAGAAATTCAATTATGGTAAAAGTAAAAATGAAAAACAGTAAAATGTAAAAAGTAAAAATGAAAAAAAAACGAGGAAAATGGGTCAAAAGGAGAACAAAAAGCAGCATGCAGGTAAAAATGAGGCTTGTCATGTCACAGGAATTAATAAATATTTGCTAAAAAATAACAAAAGTAAGTGGAGTACTAAGAGAGCATACAGTAAGAATGAACGGGAGGAAGAAAAGATTATAAACATGTGAGTAAATTTTTAAAAAACGAAAAAAGATTGAAATCAATCTTAGAAAGAAAAGGATTAACCAAAAGACTTTAAAGGAGAAACATAAAGTAGGTTTAAGACTAATAATGGACACAGGAAAATGTAATCAAAACAAGCTAAAGAAAGGAAAAAGTTTAAGAATAATGGGATCGTGGGACAGGAGAGGGTGATGAGGTGGGGGGAGAAAGGCCACAAATACAGCCACTCATTTTTCCATTCTATTAACAACTATTTCCATCCTAAGCCTGGAACAAACATTATGAAACTTCCTCAATCTGTTCCGCCCATCAAAAAGAAATGCACTGAGGGAACGGACTCTTGAGTCCAAACTATGGTCTGGGACACTATTCATCATAGGGTGATTAGGAAGAAAACAGCAGCATCAATAAGCTTATGAAGCAGGAGTAGAGAATTACAGCACATAGCGTGCAGCTCCTTCCAGACCAAAAATCCGTTATCAGCAGTACACGCCAAGTGAATGCTCAGAGACCTAAGGACACTCCAAGAGTTTATTTTTATATGTGTAAACATTTTTAGATCATTACATTTTATAAAACAAAACTACCTGTTGATGACTCATATCCAGAAAAATAAAGAGCACAATCAACTGTTACCCGCTATACAAGTATACAGCTACATCATACCACAGAGACAAACTTTATGATGATTTTTATGGCAAAAATGAACAAAAACACCTAATCTGAATACAGAGCAATTAGTGCCTTCTTCATAGCTTTTCTGCCAGTAAAAAGAGTCACTATTTTTGCCTCTGATAATTAAGACTTACCACCCATGGTCTTTTCGCTTCAAGCATCTCGATCAAATCTAAATGTCGCTTACGTTCATAGAATCTCTCCACATCTTGTTTATATCTTTCATTCCTCTGAATCATTTTCTCTAGATATTCAGTTTTCTCTTTGCACGAGGTCTAAAACAAATATGTAACAAGTCGCTTAACTGAGAAGACAACAGGTCAAATCTTTTAATAATGAAAGACAATGCTAGCAAAATTTCACAATAAAGAATTTCACAGGAGTTCTTAAGAACTGTGTAAAACTAACATGCATGCCTGAGTTCTGGTCTAGGCTCTACAATTTATTAGTTGGGCAACTGTGAGGAAGCCCTGCCACACCTGAGCCTAGAGTCTTCCTGCCTAAAGAGAAGACAGGTATCTGCCCCACTCGCCTCAAGGGCACAAGTGATGTACTTACTATAAGTGCAAGTTCAACAAAAGCTGGAACGTGAAAAGTAGTATTATTAAGGTTTGTATGTTATGAGTTATTAAGATTTGTATGTTATGAGTTATTAAGATTTGTAACTCATGAGTTAAGGACTAAGAAATGAGACGAAGGAAGGTAAGATCTGGCTTTCATACTGCGAGTTCACAAGCACAAAGATGTACTCAGAACCTAGTACAATACATGCTTGCGTTCTTTCAGAGGATGGCAGCGGTCTCGGTGAGTGTTTCAGATGGAGTACAGTAGTCCCTCCCCTATCTGTGGGGAATACAGCCCCAAACCACTAGATGATGCCCGAAACCACAATAGTACCAAACCCTACATACCTGATTTTCCCTATACATGCATACCTATGATAAAGCTTAATTTATAAATGAGACACAGAGACTGACAATAACATGACAGAATAACTGTAACAATATGCTGTAATAAAAGTCATGTGGATGTGGTCTCTCTCAAAATACTGTACTGTTGTCACCCTTCTGCTTGTGGTGACTGACATGAGTGATAAAATGGCACGTGAAGTGAGGTGACCGACAGAGGCACTGTGATGTAATGTCAGATTATTGCTGTACTTGTGACAATATGTCAGGAGGATCATCTGCTTCTAGACCGCGAGTGACCGCAGGTAAATGAAATGGCAGTAACTAAAAGCATGAAGGGGGGCGGTGGGGAAACTAATGTATGAGACTGGTCCATGGGGGCAAAGGTAAAAAGACTTAATAAGTATCTAGAGCAATATAAAATAATTACTACTCCTTGGGTCATTCAGTCTGATTAAGTAGAATATTAAATTACAACAATATGCATACTATTAAGTATGGGCAGTTACGGTGTAAGAGAAAGCATTTGTTTATAAGGCGTCTGATTACAAAAATATACTGGATTTATTTTAGTGGCTGGGACATGGAGAATGATTCATTACACAAAACACCTTTTAAAAGGATATTCTATAAAAGGACTCATAAAGTCTAACCTACCTCCTGCAACTGAAAAAATATAGAAATGGTTCAAAAGAGACACTGTGTCAAAAGCTACAGGGTATCTGCTGTACTCCCCCAAAGCCTTTTGGGTCCTGACTCATGGCAGGTGTTTAAGAAATGCTAAATGAGTAAAAGAATAATATTGAAACTTCCTGAGAGGTAAAAACATACTTTAAAATAATATGATTGGTTCTTTAGAAATTTAATTCGTAACATGTGTTTGATGAAATGGTAGTCAGATTTTTCAAACTTTCCATGATCAAATCCATTTCTCACTTTTTGTCACCTAGTTTCATGTTAGCAATAAAATCCTACGTGAGAAAAAAAAATCACAAATAAATGAAGTCACTCAATGAATCAGAGCTCCTATTCACTCTCCACATTATGAAAGACAAAAATCAGTGAGGAACAATAGAAATGAGTTGTCTATTTATAAATACCTCTAGTTGTTTTTCTTTCTCCCTGAAGTTTTTGAGTTCACAGTGGTATCTGTGCATTTCTGGAGGTCCAATGGACTTCTCTGTAGCTTCAAGGAGTTCAATTTTACTCAGTTTAGCAAATTCTCCAACTTTATCCTAGAGCACAAAATTTAAATATCAACAACTATTATCACTTATAAATATCTTCAAAACATATATCATTCAATGATCGCGCCTGTCAAGATGAAACTTTGAAAAGAAAAAAATTATAAGATGTGCCAATATAAATGTCCCTCATACACTATTCTTTAAAATGATAAATATAAACTTAGGGTATGAACTCTCATCTTTCTGAGAACCTTTTAAAAATTTCTATGCCAATATTTCTAAGGCAAAGTGTTTATATATACATAATAAATAGCTTGGGAATAAAAGAAAAAACAGTCCCCTGGATTGAAATGATCATTATCTACCACTCATCAGTTGGAATGTTAGAAGTTAAGAAAAAAGACATTTCAAACATCTACTTCATATCAGACACCAGCTAACAATGCTTTCAAATTTTAAATCTGTATTTAATTTGGACATATGTAATCAAATCATTGTTTCCAAATGGAAAATATGAACTATGATTCAGACACTAGACAGCACTCAAAGATGTAATAACATTCACTTCAACATTTAACATCTAATGTGCATTTTCAGGATATTTTTACTAAAATTTAAAATATGACAAAGTTTTAGAAGGCACACGTACCGATTTAAGAGTTTTAGTGTATCAAGTATACTTGATGTATTTATACAAAAACACGATTAAGAAGTTATTTATTAACAAAATTTTAAGAGACTACAAAGTGTAAGCACATGGCCATCCAAGTTACTCTACTTCAAAACAATACAACTTGATACCCTTTACAATATTCTGCAATTGAGACTTTCAACTTATCACTTGAAATCACTACAATAAGATCATAATAGGAGATGAGATGCTATCTTTTACAAAGAACAGTGAGTATTAACATTACCAGGCTGTTAGTTTAAATAGCACCCATGAGAACATCTCGTGAAAAGCATTTCTATTCTCATATGGCATGAAGAGGAAGAAACATGCAATTTTCCCATCTGTACATTGATTTCTCTCATACCTGAGGTAGAAATTGGCAAAGATTGCCCACTTGAATATTTAAGGCTGCAACTTGCTCTTCCACCACTTTCTGGGTTGTAGATTTTTTGTTGATGAACCAAGATGACTGATTTTTTGCCACGTCAATTTCACGGGTGATGGTAAGATTTCCAGAATTTCTGAACCTATTTAAAAAATAATTTAAAAATCCTTACATTCAAAATTATATGTATCACTTTAGAAATAAAATTTCCAAAATTCTCTTGCAACAAAGGTTGCCAGGCAGGATTGTTACTACAATTTTTATTCCTTCTGATATTTTGGCCCCTCCAAAGAAGGAAATCTTGATATTTTATTGGTAATGATACTTAATTGACCACACGTAAGTTACCAGATTCAACATCACAATTATTTAAACTGTTACAGCAAATGCCAATACTAATTTCCAAACACTGACAGAGAATTTATATATCTGAAGTTATTTATCCTTTAAATTATGTTATTCTCCAATCACATGCGTTGACTGCAATTCAAAACAGGTTGGCATATTAAAGCATATAAAAACTAAACGCTGAAACTTCCACTACTTGGAAAATATATGAATAGAAACCAATTCTTGCATAAGCACTTCCAGACATCAGAACTAGCCCAGTCATACAGGTAGCCCATGCCTTCCTCATCACGTACTCTACTCTGAATTCAGAGGAGACCACAACATACAGCCTTATAAAGGAACATTAAGCAATACAGAATCTGAAAGAAGGGTATTTACTTATTTCTTGCTTTTAGAAGTACTACTGCTCCACACCTCCCATCCATCTTCTTCACTGGGAATCAGCAGCATGTGGTAGAAAGATAAATTATTGGTATTCAATGGCTAAATGACAATGATAATTTGTAAATGTTGTGTATATAGACTATATTGTAATCAGAACACTCCAAACATTAAGATTTCACAACTTAAAAAAAAGTCGTTTTAAATTTTCATTTCCAGCAGAATGACTAATGAAGTACCCTTCCTGAGCTTCTTGCTGTAAACTACAAATAATGAAATATTAAAATATGTTCACAAATGCATTTATGAGTTAGCTTGAAAGTAAGTAATTCTGGCCAAAATCCCAGTGCAGGTGGAGATCCAGAAGTGGAAAAATGAAAATGGCTTTTACCCTGGGAGCATGTATTCCACCAAACAGCCTTACACATTTTCATAATCACCCAGCAGAGGGGCTGCAGAGGAGGCCTACAGCTACCCAAACTGGAGGGCCTAATAAAAACCAGCCCCAGAAGACTACACCCTCATGGAAGGGTAAACTAGAAGTACACCACCGCCATCACCAGACCCAGCGAAGTGCCTGTCGCAAACTATGGCTTGGACGGAAAAAGTCTCTCCTGACACGCTTATTAACCACAAGTCAGTCTCAAACAGATTAGTATCTTGAATTTAGTTACATGACATACCTAAGATTCAAAATGCACCAACTGAGAATTGTGTGTATTTTGATCCTGGTTTGAAAGTATCCAATGATCTGCTGCAGAAGTCAGTGAAAATGCCCTCAGCAGGAATCTACCTTTACCCTCAAAGAATTAACACGAAGTTCAAAGAGAAAGGAGCGGCTTACTGGAAACACACACAAAAACAAAGCATCAAGAGTACGAACTAGCAGAAATAACAAAGAATCATACTGGAAACAATGGGCAAGTACAGAATAAGTATATTCACTGTATTTCAAGAAATAGAAGATGGAAAATATTGACTTATATCTAGGATCTGAAAAAGAACCACAGGGAAATGGACTAGAATGGAGCACAAAGACATAAAAAAATGAAAAATATGAAGGATGTAAAGAGACACAGATGACTTAGAGCCCAATATCTAATAAGAGTGCCAGGGGAGCCTGGGTGGCTCAGTCTGTTAAGTGTATGACTTTGGTTCAGGTCATGATCTCACAGTTTCTGAGTTCGAGCCCCACACTGGGCTCTGTGCTGACAGCTCAGAGCCTAGAGCCTACTTCGGATTCTGTGTTTCCACTTCTCTCTGCCCCTCCCCCACTCATCCTCCCTCTATCTCTTTCTCAAAAATAAGCGTTAAAAAAAAAAATACAGTTCCAGAAGGAAGAGAGACAAAGAATGGATCAGAGGCAATATATGAAGAGATAATACATAAGAATTTTCCAAACCATAAATTTAAGAAGCTCACTAAATCCCAAGCAAAATAAACAAACAATAAATCCACATCTAAATATATGGTGTAAAACTATAAAACACCAAAAACTGAGATAGGATTTTAAAAAATCACTTCAGAAAAGGAGAATTACTATGAAAGAAACTAAGATCAGATTCACATCTGAAGACAATGGAATAATACTTCACATATGTTGAGAAAAGACCTATTGGGGCACCTGGAGGACTCAGTCTGTTGAGAGCCCAACTTTGGCTCAGGTCGTGATCTTGAAGTTTGTTAGTTCAAGCCCCATGTTGGGCTCACTGCTGTCAGTGCAGAGTCCGCTTCAGATCCTCTGTCCCCTTCTCTCTGCCCCTCCCCTGAATGCACTCTCCCAAAAATAAATAAACCTTAAAAAGAAGAAAGAAAGAAAAGAAAAAGAAAAAAGACCTATCGATGTAGACTTTTATATCCAGCATATACACCTTTCAAGATTGATAGCAAAAGATCATCATTTTCAGACAAAAACTTAGTGTTCCACTAGAAGATCCTCATTAAAGAAAACTTTAAAAAATGTCCTCTGGCAGAAAGAAAGTAATCCCAGAGGAAATCACAAAAATGCAAGAAAGAATAAAAAGCAAGGCAAACCAAAAATACACAGGATAATTCTAAACAAACAATGAGAGTTATTTATAGTTATTATGTCTTAAAGACTTGATAAGATAAAATTAAAATAGTTCAGGGAAATTATTCAAATAAAAGTAATCTAAGGTCTTTATTCAATAGGAAAATAAAGACATCTAAGTCTAGACTCAAATTCAAATATATATGTTAACAATTCTAACCACTAAAACAAGAATGACTAATTTTCAAAACAGTAAAGAAAATATTAAGGCAAACAAAAATCCAAACAAAGGCATGAGAGAAAAGATATACTGAAAAGTAGAACAAATAAAAAGCATGGAATAAGGCAGTAAAAGTAAATCCAAAAATGTAAGTCATTCAATACATGTAATGGATCATATGCATTATGTAAAAAGCAATATAAACAACACCAGCCATCCTTGTTCAAATGAGATATTAAAGGTCTTAAAAAACTTGAAATAAATGAATAAAACCTGAAAAATACTTAAAAAAGAAAGCTGCCAACTACATTAGTGGCAAGTTAAACACATTCTAAGGGTGATGCATCAAAAGACAAAGAAGTCAGTATGCAACAACAGAAAGTTCAATTCACTCGGAAGATCAAGCAATGTGAATCTTAGCTGCAACTAATAACGTCCTGAAAATACATAAAGCAAAAACTGACAGGATGAGGCTAACTGACAAATCTACACAGAAGTATAATGTAAAACACCTTTCTCAGTAAAGAATCGATCTGATGACTAAAATCATAAATTTACAAGATTTAAAAATATAATTAATCGGTTGAACTAATGGACAAATAGACAATACTGCACATAACAAGAGCAGAATACTCATTCTTTCAATCCAGCGGGTAACATTTATGAAAGCTCACTATGATAAGTATACCTTGACAAATGTCAAAGGGTTGGTAACATGACCATATATATATGACTCTATATAATATAGTAATGTTATATATTATACAATAGCACATATATAATTTAACATATCATTTATAATATATATTTTTTCTACTACAGTACTATCATCAAAGTGGAAATCAATAGCAAAATATAACAAGAAAACCACTACATGAGAATTTTAAAGAACTTCTAATTATGAACTCATAAAGAAAATGAAGAAAATATTCAGAACTGAAAAATAGGAAAATGCTTTATATACCAAAACTTAGGAGAAACAGCTAAGCAGTATTGACAGGGAAATTTTTAACCTGTTTATATTAAGGAAAATAAAAGACTACACATTTGTACAATAAATATCAATTTCAAGAAATTAGAAAAAGCAAAAAAAAAAAAAAACCCAAAAGTTTAAAGAAAAATTAGTAAAGATATGTGTAGAAATTAATGAAGTAGAAAACAATGATATAACAGAGAAACAACAATGCAGAAGTCAATTCACTGAAAAGACTAACAAAACTGACAAATCAAATCCTTCAAATTAAGGGGTAAAAAAACAAAGGAGGTTAATACTACTACAGAAGACATTTAGATCATGCCACGTCTCTGCTCAAATCCTGGTGGGTTCACAGCTTACTGAAAATAAATAAATGCAAAGTCCTCACAGCAGCCTACAAGTCCCTAGGAGCCGGCTCCTTGATCTTTTCAGACCTTACCTCTTACTATTCTCTTGTTCAATGCAATGCGGTCACACAAGATATCACTTGAGTCTTAGCATTTGCAGACACCAAAATGCTATTTCCCCAAGCATTTCCATGCTCATCACCTTATCTCCTTTAAGTCTTTGCTCAAGTACCATCTTCTGAGTGAGAACTTTCCTGATCACCCTATTTAATACCATAAACTCTACTCTGGCACTCCCTCCCTGTCCTCCTTTCCTGCTCGATTTTCTACGTTAGCACCTATCATCACCTAAAATAATATTTTACCTATTTATGTATCCGTCCCTCTCCTCATGCCCCTAACCATAAATTCCAGAATGCTGTACGCCCCTCCCCCTCAATGTATAGGTACTCCAGAATTACTTGAAAATGACTGCATCAGTGTGTGCCAGAGATTATTCTATCCACTGTTCCACTCGACGAGTATGTGACCAGTTAACAGATTTGTTCAACAGGAGTAATTTCAACTAATGATGAGCGATTTTATGTTTGGTATTCCCAACAAGTGACCACAATGTAACTACAATGACTTTGGGGAAATGGAAACCTCCCCCATGTCAGATGTGGTAACAGAACTCTGGTTCATGGTCACTTGGTTAGATTATAACAGCTAGTGGCTATTGCATGCCAGCATGTGTGCCTCTTCAGAGAAGTAAGAAAACAATTGGGCCATGGTGATGGAGTAGAAAATCAGGAGTGCTTAACACCTGCTGCCATCCGTAAAAGTCACTGAAACTTAAGTATTAACACTTCCTCTGTATGTCAGAAATATACCTGGCTTCATATATTTATGTCAGTTGCAATATCGAAGAAACCACTGTGACCCATCAATGGTACCAAGGTTAACACAGGAGTTATCTTTGGCTAATGGAGATATAATTCACATACCATTTTAAATATACGAATCAATGCTTTTTTTCATTGTGGTAAAATGTGCATAACATAAAATTTACCACTTTAACCATTTTTAGGTGTATAGTTGAAGGAAGATGTGCTTCAACAATGGTCTTTAACATATTCACAAGGTTGTGTCACCATCACCACCATCTATTTCCGAAATCTCTTCACCACCCCCAAAAAGGAGCCCAAACCTGTTAAGTCGTCACTCCCTATTCTCTCCACTCCTCCTTCCTAAGCAGCCACAAATCTATTTTCTGTCTCTGGAGATTTGCCTACTCTGGACATTTCATATAAACGCAGTGATACAGTCTGTAGCATTTGTGTCTGGCTTCTTCCACCAAGCACGTTCTCCAGGTTCACCCATGTCGCAGGATCCATCAGCACTTCCTGCCTTTCTGTAGCTGAATAAGATATTGTGTGAATGTATCACATTTTGTTTAGTCATTTACCAGACGACAGACATTTGGGGGTGTTTACAATTTTTCACTATTAAAATTAAGAAAAGGCTAATTTTGTGCAAATGAGTAAACAATGTCTACAACAGTAACCGGATCAAAGATTTATTTAAAACCTGATAATATACTCCCAAGTAAGATAAAGTGCTTACATTCCCACAGTACATGACAGGATTCACTTCTTTTTTTTTTTTTTA